GCAATTCTCCATGTAGCTCAAAAAGAATTCCTCACACACCCACAGTTCCAGTTCATAAGTCCCACTCAGATTTCTCTCCAGAACTCCAGACTCACATTGAAGATCTTGTCCATGCCTGCACTCAAATGTCCAGTGACACTCTGACATGTTCATAGCTCAGTACCCAATCTCCATTCAAATCTTTTCCAACCACAGCCAACATCAGGTCAGACAAACAAAGCTCTACCCACTCAGTTCAGTCCTCAGAGCCATCAAAGTGCTCTTTCTATGTCCAATCCACAGCAAGTCCTATAGGCACTCCTTTAGATATGCCTGGAGTCCACCACTTTTCACACCTCCACAGTCACTTTCCAGTCCATGCCACCCTCTCTCCCACTTGGACTAGTACAATGCTCTCCCTGGCTGGTCTCCTTGCTCCCATCACTGCCCAGCAGTCAGGAGGGTGGGTCCTTATATTTCCTACAATCCCAAATCTGGTTAGTCATTCCTCAGTTCAAAGCTCTCCCTTGCTCCTCATAGCTCACGCTACATAAAAGCACACAACTCCCAGTAAGGTAGAAGGCCTGTGTTAATCTACTGGGGGAAGGGGACAGCATAGCCCAAAGCCAGTCTTGACAAGGTAAGTACATTAGACAATGAAAAGTCATTAGAAAGTTTCCTAACAACCTTACATAGCTGCAGTATCTTAGCACTAATACATGGGCAAGGTATTCAGGGCATTGGTTCTGCAGAAAGGCCCTTGTCTCCTTTCAGCATCTATAGGTCCCGCAATCCTTGGAGATCGCCATGTGTCTTGGGATCAATTATCCCCTAGATCTAGGAGGTTCACAGTGCAGGGACCCCAGGTCTAAAGGACGCAATCGACTCCTGGCTATTTTTTTCTTGGTAGTAGTAGGTTCCACTCATTTCTACTTACTTCTCCTTTTATCTCTTTTAAGTACAAGGAGATGCAGGTCACAGCCCAGGGACAGTCTCCTTATATGGGATCAGGGCTGTGATAGGATTAAGGGTATGGCATCCCAATCGTAACCCTCTTATGGGTTTATTACATCGATCACATCATGGGAAGACCATCACATAATCACCAAACCACTGAGCAACACAGTCCAGCCAAGCTGACACATATTGTTTTCGTGGGACACAAATCAATCCATGACAGTTAACCTTGCCCAGGTAGCCTTGTGCTAACCACCTCATTTAATACTGCAAGTCACCTTTCTGGTCAACTTGCTTTCTTTGTAGAAAGGTAGGAGTAAGGGGTTAGGACTATGGCTAGGTCTAGGCTACACATAGGCCTTCAGGTAGTATAAGGGTTTTGGTTAGGACAAGGATTAGTGTATATCAAGTAATACAAGGAAAAATTTACTAAAGATAAACTCAAAAACAGTTGCAGCAGTACATAAACAGGGAGCTGTCAGAAATTCAAGCTGGATTCAGAAGAGATTGTGGAATGAGCGATTTCACTGCTGACACCAGATGGATCTGAGACTACACAGAAAGATGTTTACTTGTGTTTTATTATGTTGGAACATATTCAACTGTGTGGATCATAACAAACTATGGAGAATATTGTGAATACTAGGAGTACCAAACACTTAATTCTGCTCATGAGGAGACTGTACATAGACCAATTCAATTCAAACAGAACATGGTGGGTATTGAATGGTTCAAGATCAGGACAGGTGTGCACCAGGTTTGTACCCTTTCATCATACTTATTCATTCTGAGCAAACAATGCAAGAATCTGGATTATATGTAGAGATATGTGGCATCAGGATTGTAGGAAGATTCGTTAATAAACTCTGATATGCAGATGACACAACCTTGTTTGCTGGAAGCAAAGAAAACTTGAAATACTTACTGATGAATATTAAAGACTACACATAGCCTTCAGTATGAACTGCACCTCAATGTGAAGAAAATGAAAGTCCTCAAAAGTGGACCAATAAATAACATCAAAATGAAAAAAAGATAGAAATTGTCAGAGTTCACTTTGCTTGGCTCCACCATCAACACTCATGGAAGCAGGAGTCAAGAGATCAAATGATGTATGGCACTAGGCAAATCTGCTGCACAAGACCTCTTTTAAGTGTTCAAAAACAAAGATGTTAGTTGGAGTACAAAGCCATAGTATTTTCAATCATCTGACATGTATGTGGAAAGCAGAATAATGAATAAGGAAGACTGGAGAAGAATGGATGCATCTGAATTTTGGCAAGAAATATTGAAAATAACATGAATTGTCAGAACAAACAAACAAATCTGTGTTGGAAGCAGTACAGCCAGAATGTCACTTAGATGGGAGGATGATGAGACTCTGCCCCACATATTTTGAACATGCTATCAAGAAAGACCAATCCCTGGAGAAGAACATCATGCTTGGTAAAGTGGAGCATCCATGAAAAAGAGGAAGACCCCCAACAAGAGGAAGTGACACAGTGGCAGCAACAACAAACTCGTTTAACAATTGTGAGGACGGTACAAGACCTGGCAGTGTGTCCTTCTGTTGTGCGTAGAAATCACGGAGTCAGAACCAACTCAACAGCATCTAACAGCAACAAGTGCTAGTGTCAGAGGTAGGCTAGGGCTAGTAGTAGGGCTTAGTCTAATTTTAGGATTAGTTAGGTTTATTTTTGCTATATTTTCTTGAAATCTACTTGATTTCCTCTTGACTTGGAAAGTTCTATAACTACAGTATTCCTTATTTTTACTTTGCAGATTTTTGTTGTTGTTGCAAACTGACATCCCTAGTTTCAGTCTTGTAGGTTTGTTTTACTTCGGATACTTGTATTTCTGGGTTGAGTTCTAAGTGATATTGTCATGTATGTTAATCTCAGGTTCTCTTTCTAAGGAATTTCCTTTAGCATTTTTGGTGAAGTTATCTTTTACAAATTCTTTTAGTATGTTCATCTAGAAATGTCCTCATTTCACAATTGTATTAGAGAGAGAATTTTCCTGTGTACATGATTCTTTATTGGCAAAATTTTTCTTCCAACGTTTTATGTATATCACCCCATTATTTTCTTGCCTGCATGGTTTCTGCTGAGAAATCAGACCTTGGTCATTTTAGTTCTATTTATAAGTAAAGTTTCATTTTTCCTGAGCTGCTCTCAGGATTCTTTCCTTGTCTTTGGTTTTGACAAGTTTGATTATAACATGTCTTGGTGATTTTCTTTTGGGGTCTATTCTGTTTGTACTTCATTCAGCTTCTTGAATGCAGACCTTCTCATCTTTCATGATGTTAGGGAATTGTCTTCCAATGACACCTTGACAAACTACTTTTTGTTGATAGGTCTAGATAAGAGGTGATGGGGGAAGATGCTGATGATTATATGAATAAATTGCAAATATCTGCTAATAAGGCTAATTGTGCTTGGTCAATTTTGCCATCCTGCTGGATATAAAATGAGCCATCTCAGATGCAGGAATGGGGGATCTGACTATCATCAAAGAAGTGCCAGCAGTGGAATGTGTCCTTTGGACCCTGTGTACCAAAACTCTTCAACCCAGGGACAGAAAGCTATGACACTAGAGGTGCAGCAAAGCAACATCAGCAGAAAAGTCAGAGCATGAGACAGAGCAGTGAACTCCCTGGCCCCCAAAGCAAGTAAAGCCGAGTGCCATTGGGCAGGAGGTTCATCTGTGAGAGGGTTGCCTCCAGACACTTAATTGGGAGAGCTAGAGATGAGCACCTTCACGCTGAGGTTATATAGTAGAATGGAGGACCCTTTGGACACTTAGCAGCAGTACTAAAAACGTTTTGTAATACTGCTTGAGCAGGACAGGAGCCAGCCATGGGGCTGAGGGCCAGACGGAGGCCTGCCTATAAGCACAGCAGAGAAGATGTCCTTATTAAGTATCTGTATCCTGATCATTTCTAATCCTAACTTGTAACCTGTTAACTGCTCCAATACACCCCTTAACTGTGAATATAATGTCTAAGTTCTGTGTGGCCACTGCAAAGAATTAGCAAACCCAGCTGAGTAAAGATTGCTGTGCGAGGGATGGCTGGTGCCATTTCTTACAGGGAGAAAGACAAGGATGGATACAGATGCCCAAGTAGGCTTTCAAATATGCTCTATTTACATTCTTTACAGTACAAAGTTGGTCCTTGTTATTTTCCTAATATCAATTTAGAATAAGTCAAAATTCTATGACACACAAGCAACATCCCAAAGCTAAATACAGTGATTACTCAAATAATCCAAGTCAAGCATGCTGTAATATTAATGAGTTGTGAATAACCAGCAACTATTTTCAGGACTGAGTGAGACAGTGCCTTACCAGAGACACACATTCAGTGGATCCCCTTCTGTAAAACCACAAGAGCAGAGAGAGTTCACTGAAGACCTCAGGCATACCAAACCAAAAGCATGTTCTGGTAGACAGCAGTGAAAATCTGTTTCCACTTTAACTAGCAGCAGCTGGAGACTCTGGCCAACATACATTTTGTATTAGTCAAAAGAGAAGGCCCATTTTTAGTTACACATCCAGTTAGGTATCGTCGTACAATGTGACCTAGACTTGCAGTACAGCTAACTCTCTGTTAACCATGGCAATGGGGATTTTTAGGAAGGACAACAGATCACTAGGAAGAAAAATCATCTCATTTTATTCTCAGCAAGGCATGTATTACTGCAATAGGGATGTTGGCCTTCAGTGAGGATGTACCGAGGACCTTCTACTTTGTCTGGCATGTGAAATTCAAGCCACACTTTGGTGATTCAACAAGCCTTGTGGTCTGAGACACCACTACCATACTTGTCTGGAAAGAGAATAGAGCCCATCAATTTTCAGGGCATGGGGATGGCTCCATCCTGTTTCCTTACTGCACCTTCAGCAGAGCTTCTAGTAGAAGACAGGTGTGACCATGGGCAGGGAGCATTGTCAGAAAGGAGCCCCAGGTCCACCAGGCTCACAATGAGGCAGGTAGAGAGTTGGCTGTACTGGCCAGGCTGCACAGCATTTCTAGGAACAAGAAAAGCAAACCGCCGTCCCACCTCGGGCTGCACGGTCACAAGTGAGGCAGGGCTGGGACCAGTCCCCATTTGGGTGGGCGGCCAGCCCCAGGTGCGGCAGGAAGGGGTGGCGCTGGCTCAGCGGCTGCAGCTCCTCACTCTGACTCAGTGGGGCGCCTGCGCGGTGCTGAGGGCACAGTGAGGTCTCGGGCGCTGTGGGCAGGGACACACATACACATACAAATACACATACACAGAGAGAAACAGGCTATTAGAGGACCACAGCAGCCTCTGCACATGGGGCAGATCACTCCAAAGCCTGCCACCCCCATGGTTGCCATGGACACACTCCTCCCTCCCATCCCGAAGCACACAGCTGGAACTTGAGGTCTGAGAGAGGCAGAGTCCTCAGAGCTGGGAGCAGGGCAGCACTGAATGACCCAGGGGAGACCTATTAGGAGCTTGTGACTGCAGGTCCAGGTTGGCATGAGGACAAGGGCCTGTCCATACCCTAGACTCCTATACCAGGAATGGTCCACAAACTGTTTATGAAATGTGATGCTACATCAGCTCCTTCTTTGTATCGTCTGGCTTCATGAGAATAATGAGCGTGGACGGCATCAGAAGAGAAGAGGCACTCCCCTCATCACACAGCAGGACCACTGCTCAAAAGAAGACTTTCCTGGGGGGAAGGGGAGCGAGGGGGAGGGCACTGAAATATAGAAGACAATTTCACTTCTTAAAGGGCAATTTTCATTCTTTGGTTCAATTAACCAGAGGATGACTTCTGAGGATTAAGTTTACTTTTTTCCCCCAAATAACTTCAAGAATGTCACAACCTATACTTTAGCTGTTACTGCTAAGTGCCGTGGAGTAGGTCAGAACCTACTCAGTGATCCTATATAGGGTTTCCAAGATTCAGCTGGTGGGTTTTAACTGCCAGTTCTAAAGCTCAAGTCTTGTGATCCAGTACTTATCCTACAGCGCCACATAGTTCAAACTGAGGGAAACCAGACATGGCATCAAAAAAACCCGCTAACCTACTTCAAGTTTGATAACAATTTAGAATTCCTAGAGGAAGGAAATCTGACTTTATTACACAAATCACCTCTGAACTATTTCTCAAAATGTTAAATTGAAACCTGCCAAAGCAAGACACATTAATAAGTGGTCTGTTAGCAGAACCACTAACTAAGCTATGGTTGACAGGGGTCCATCAAATTACAAACTTCCTTTAAAAAAAATTTTTTTTCTATACTATTAACATAGCTACCACTGACTCCAAAAAGCAAGGGTGTAGGGATCTCCACTTTAGTTCAACCATATCTAGACTAAATTGAAGCACCTCCCACTCTTCCAAGTGGCTAGGACCATCTATCCTAAAAGCATGAGATTGGTTCTGTGAAGGAAGAGGAGTACTCATACCTGGGGACTGCTCTCTGCAAATGATCATGATGCTTAACGTAGCTTACAGAAACATGCTCTGACAGTCCCTGAGCTCTACACTTCTGTTCCTTAAAATTTCTTCGGATGGCTATGGAGTCGTGCAAAGGCCTGAAGAAATCTGACATGCAAAAAAGAGAACAGGCAACCCACCCAATACAGACCGAGCCCCACAACCACACCGCCAGAAGCTCTTATGTCCATATTTGAAAAGAAGACCTGTTGAGGCTCCTGCCTTTTTCCCTTTTACATTAGATAGAAACATATGCACTTCACCCTCCATGCTGCTGAAGTAGAACAATTCAGGAACCTGCATGCAGCTCAATGATCAGAAACATATGTAACGTAAGATGAAAGGAACAAGATCATCAAGAGCAATCAGCCATCTCCTCTTAACTATCAGCCAATGCCCATGTGCTTGCGCAGGAAGACAATCCCTCTGCTCTGGATCCCTCCCCTCAGATCCCTCTAGATCCCACTTCTTTGTCCCCCTTACCACTGATGGTGAAAGCCCCTGACCACTTGTACAGAATGAGATCCACAAGCAGCCCAGCCAAAGGGACTGAAGATCTTTTATTGCCATAACTTCACCTAGACTAGGGTGCATATTGGTTAGGCCCTGGAAGCTCTGCAGTGGTTGCTGCCCTCAGCCCAAAGCACCGGGCCACTCACACAGCCAGGGCTCAGACAAGGGGAGGGAAGCTCTGTGAGTACTCACAGCCATGGTAGGAAGCTGGCGAGCCCCCGGCCTTGCCATACTTCTGCTCTGAGTAACTGGTGGAAAGGTTGGGTTGGCTGGAGCCACGGCCAAAGGTGATCTGGTTGCTGCCCATGCCTGTGGCAACCTGGGCCATGCGCTCTTTTGTTTTGAGAGCCTGGGCCCTCTCAGCCTTCAGCCGTTCCTCGTCCTTTAGGAGAGCCACCAGCTGCTTGGACTTCTCACGCACATTGATGCCCTGGTCCTTGCCATCTCGGTCAATGTACTGGAAGTCCTTCAGGGTCTGAATGGCAAAGATGTTCTCACGGCACTGCTGAGCCACTCTTTCAGATCCTGTCTTGATTAGGTAGTCCAGCAGTGTGAGCGCCTTGTACACATGCCGCCAGTTCTTGCCATGGTCATTAAGTCGCTTCCATACCATGCTCATAATTTCTGAGAAGGCCACCACATTGTAGGTCAGATCTGTGATTTCCGTCATCAGGGAGCTAGATGGGCCCCATGGGTCGTTGGAAGTGGCTTCCTGTACTTTTATTTCAGCCTCTGAGTAATTGTTCACAATGTTCTTCATCTGCCGCCTGATAGATGAAGTCGTCATTTTTATTTCCTTGGTTTCAAATCAAAAGTCCTTCAAAGCCCTGTGCTCAGTAAATTCACACCCTACAAAGGGTCAATGTCTGTAATCAATCTAGAGTTAGATTCCTGAACAATCATTTCGTCTGCTGCAGCCCTGAACTTGGGAAGCTGGAAGCCATGACCTAGAAAAGAAAGAAAAACACTCTGTGACTTGAGCCCCCATGGTAGGAAAAGACGTGGGCTCAGACATCTATGAAAGAAACTGAGATTCCGTCTCTCTTTAAAAGCTAAGATCAATATTATAAGTTAATAATGAATTAAATTTATGCTCAAATTTAAGTTTTTAAAAGAAGACATCATGACAACTGTTCTTATTTTCAAAACATTTCTACTGGAATTATCATTTTGGATGTATTTTCACTGCCTGATGAACCAGAAAATTGGAGGAAGTCAATGCTGATAGATTTAAATCACAAAGGGGCAGGAAAGCCTCTCATTTCAAATACAGTAGTCTCTCAGTACCAAAGGAGGACCAGTTCCAGAGCCCTCACCCCCAAGATATCAAAATCTGTGGATGCTCGAGCCCCTAATTTAACACAGTGTAGCACTGGCATTGTAGGATCAGCACTGGGCTGCGAAGCATAAGGTTGGCAGTTCAAACGCAGCAACTGCTCCTCGGAAACCCTATACAGGGTTGCTATGAGATATAACTGACTCCACAGCACTTGAGAGCATCATTTATTGCATCTAGCCTTCACATATTAATCATCTTTTAATTACTTATAATACCTGCAACAATGCAACTGCTACATAAACAACACTTTCACTGTCCCTTGTCTTTGAAGGATTGCTTAGTTAAATCCAAAGACGTGGAACAGAGGGTTGACTGTATATCTTAACCCAAAATGCCTATCTATATTTGCCTTTAAAATTATTTTGTATCTTGGCTTTATTCCACTGTGCCCAAGGATTTCTTTTCACATGTACCATTCTTCTCCTGACCTTGCCTATTTAGGAATTTATAAAGATTCCTGACTGACCTTTTGTTATTAAATGTCATTAAGTCAGTTTCAACTCATAACAACATTGTAAAGCGCTTTTGAGACTGCAAATCTTTCTCTTGCCGAGCAGCTGGTAGATTCGAACTGCTGATCTTATGATTAAGCAGCCCAACAAGTAGCCCACTGCATGCCACAAGAGTTCCTTGTTCCAAGCTAACACTGATGTTGTTGTTAAGTGCCACTGAGTTTTGACTCAGCGACCCTGTATAGAGTTTCTGAGGAGTGACTGGTGAGTTTGAACTGCCTACTTTCAGTTCAAACCAACCTTGTGATCCAGTGCTTATCCTACAGCACCACACTGTCTTCTGATCCGAGCTAATACAACCTCAAAAAGAATTCAATTATAGTTCAACTCTGTCATTCAAAGAGGAGAAAAATTGAGAGCCATGGTTATATGTTAACTAGTTCATCCAGCCCTACATAAAACACACCTACTGTTCTCTCTCTTACTTTCATGAAAAACATTTACTGAGCAAGACTGAGGCCCATGCCCAGTCTGCTCCATGAGTTTGACAAGTCTAATCTACCTTACTCACTGAGCAATACCCAGCAATCAGCACTATACCTGGCAGAGAAAGATAGGCACTATTGAATAGATGGATGAAATCAGTAACAGTGTCCCTGACCTCAAGAAAGCCATAGTCTAATGAAGATAGGAGGTGAACATGGGGTGCAAAGGCAGAACAACCAATTAGGCTGTTGGTGACTGCAAAGGGAGTGTGAGAAGGACCTTCTGCTTGAAATAACATTCACTATGATCTTCAGAGCTGAAAAGAATTGATCAGGCAAAAAGGACAGAGGGCAAAAAGTAGTCATGTAGGTGATTCCTTTCTGATAAAATGGGGAAACTGTTGTATTCTATATACCAGCAACGAACAATCAAAAAAAGGGAAGAAGACGGTAGCTTAGGTAAATGTACATCAATGCCCTCCTCCAACAAAGATCTAAGAAACCAAGAGAAACAGATATAAACAATGACACTGGACCCCTGAACATCAAAGGAAAGGCTGAAGAATTGGATTGTGCAATGACTGGAAAGAAAACAAAACCAGTTGAAATGCTGAGATTCTCTGAGAGTTGGCATCCAACTGGTTAACACAGCAGAGCATGCCTACTGTGAGACACACTCTCTGGTGGAGGAGTCCCGGAGGGCAACTTCACAGAAAACAGAGACAGAGGCAAAGATACTGAGTGAAGAGATATCTAGAAAGAAAAGAAAAGGAAAAAAAAAAAAAAAGTAGGCATGCCATGTGCCAGGACCAAACTAACTAGAGAAGGAAGCAGGAGGGAGTCTCACAATTCTGAAACTAGGTCTACACAAGGAAGTGCCACAGGTGCAAAGTGGGATAGACAGTATCACTGGAGGCTCAGGACTTGGGAGTGTTAAGACAAGACAGTGAAACAGAAGCTTCCCACATGACCTACGCCATGCTGGTCCCCTTGGCCTCATGTTTTAACAGCCCTTCTCCCATTTTCCGAACCACTGTACCACGAGTCCCTTCAGTGATTCACCCAACATTCCACACACTGCTGCTCCCTGCACTCAACCTACCCCACTTGAGAAGCCCAAAGGTATGCTCACTGCTCCCCACACACAGTGACTGCTCAGTGAGGAGCCCTGAGACATGCCTACCACCCCCCACCCCCCAGCAAAGCCCAAATGATGAAGAACACTTTAGAACTGACCACCATTCCTTTCTCTTGGCCCAACTGCACTGCACACCCCTCCTGGCCTATGCACCAAGACACCAAGGCATCTCTCTCCACGTACCTCTCATTCCTACCCAGTATGAACCCACCATGCACACCCACTCAACCTACAAAGAAAGGTACCCACAGAGATATGTCTCCCACATGTCCCTCCTAGTGCCTCAGAACATCTGAATATATGCAGAGATTTCCTGTCCTCCCTGTCACTAAAACACCAACCAATACCTAAACAAACTCATCCATGGGAGCTATACGCATTCTTGGGACTATGACAATGACTTATCTGCTCTCCAGAGGACACACTAACAGCACATACCAATGCAGAAGTATCACACAACCCCACAGGAGCTGTGGAGGGGTCTACTGGCCACCTGGAGCCCCCTAATAGAGAAGAGCCCTGCTCACATACTTCCATACTACGCTACAAGGGAAGAAGTGCATGACCAATAACAGAAGACTCCCATGTATATGCGAACCACTATAAACGGCCAGTGAAAGAAAGTAACTCCCAACCAACAGCAGCATCATAGTCATACACAGAACAATACTATAAAGCAACATCAATTAAAACAGCAAAGCAAGGTAGACAATACAAAGAGAGAGTAGAAGATAAGCAACATATCTATCAAAATAAAAACAATATGAAAAAGACAAACAGAACAAACAAGATGGTGTATCGGGTAGAAGTGCAGTGAGGAGCTCTGTAAGCAACAATACAGAATACCGGACCAAGCAGGTTCAGGGGATGGTGCCATAACTCTGAACCACATATAAAGGAATATTTAGAAGGTTGGAAAGCTTACAGCAAGGGGAATTAATACCATAAGTAAGAAATCCATTGTTTTCTAATTTAAAAAAACTCAGCTGCTCCCGGAGCTGCCATGTTGGGAGAGACCAAGTAGGGGAAGGAAGATCAGAGCAGCAGCCTGACAGAACCGCAGAGATAAAGGTGTAGGCACTGTTTTTTGGTTTGTTTTGTGTTTAATGTATCTGTTCATTGGTCTCTTGCTGTCTGCACACCTCCATTCTGGTGAATACAGGTGGTGCCTGAGCGAGTGGACACCCCACCACCACCCCCGGAGGGTTCCACTACGCATGCGCACTTACCTCCTTGAAATTTAAAGTGACAATTTCCACTTAAAACCAAACGGCAGTGCAAAACGGCCACCACAGCTGGCCCCAAACAGTTTATCACTAGGAAAAAGGCCTAAGCAGGGATTGTGGAGCGGGACAGACAGACTGAAAAGGAAACAGGCTAAAAATCAAATCCTGAGTTACGTCACAAAAACAACAGTGGCATCTTGAAATTTCTCAGAAAGAAGAGTGAAAACAGAAGCCCATCTCCTGATCACATCTACCTGGAGGCAATCAGAAAGCATGAAAAATACCAAAATACACACCCATCTAAGTATTAAGGCCACAGATAACTCCTGAGTATTCCCAAAAAACAGAAACAGATGACCATATCAGTACACGTTTAAAAATGAGATAAAGTGACTGAGGCAAATGAACTGAAAGTAGACCTACACGCCATATTGGAAGATGGTCAGGCTTTGGAAATGCCTGGGAAGGAATTCAGAAAAATGATTATAAAATGTATCTACACACTATACAATGGAGTTGGAAAAAAATAAGGAAGAAGTCACGAAAGTGCTACAGGAACAATCAAATAAGATAGATACAGCATTGGAAGCAATTCAAAACCTTCAGAAAGAGGTCAAAACGATTAATAATAGAATATCAGAAGTGGACAATATACTGAAAGGGAAAAAGAGTAAAAGTGAAGAGATAGAAGCCAGAACTAGTGAGCTAGAAGATATATCTCTCAAGACTACAGAAGAGCAAGCAGAACAAAGGATTTAAAAAATCTGAAGAAGGCCTAAGATTCATGTGGGACAACATGAAGAGGAATAACTTAAGAATTATTGGCATTCTGGAACAGGAAGAATCACACAAGTCCACAGAGGAGATAGCTGAAGAGCTTCTGGAAGAAAACTTCCCTAACATACTGAAAAGCAAAAATTTAAGCATTCAAGAAGCTCAACAAACTCTAGGAAGGATAGACACTAAAAGACAATCACCAAGACATATCATAACCAAGCTCTCCAAAATCAAAGATAAGGGCAGAATAATAAAAGCAGCTAGGGAAAAGATAATTTTAACATACAAAGGCAAGCAAATCATATTAAATTTGGATCTCTCAACAGAAATCATGCAGAAAAGGCGGCAATAGGTAGAAATATATAAAACCCTGAAAGAA